GTGTATTGCAGGTAATAGTTATATAGTTCTAACGCTTCAGATGAATATCACAAAGTTAACACATCCATCATTGACTTTCTTTACCGGAACCATAAAATCAACTGAAAAAAGTAACGAAATCGACTAGGCAATGAAAAACGAGTCTCTTAACTGAAGTTTTCCTCAGGAGATAACTGGCAGTAAACGCTAATATTGTATTCCAGAATTCGTTGATATTTTCAGTAGCATTTTAAATGTAGCAACATCCGGGACAAAATATGGAGCCAGCTGATTCTAGGTCAGAAGAGTTACAAGAGAATTATATTTCTTTAGAACCAATTTTAGATAAAACTTGTAAACGTTTGATAAAGTAGTCTGTGCACAATTTGAGATACGAACTTAAAGCTGCAGATAATATACATCAACTGTTTCTTTTACACACGAGTTCATCGTGAATAATTTACTCCTTATTGCCTATAATTGATATGCTAGGATCGTGTGGTTCATTCAGAACTCTACACCTTATGAAGTAGAACAGTTTGTGAAGGTCCATCTCATTTACGTCATAGTGTGCAGGTACTGTTAACCACGTCTTTTGTTATTTTTTTCCATTATTTACAGCGTTTATCAAATAAAGAATTATGAAGTACTGTAAATTATTTGTATTTCGCGTTTGATTTATTTTCGCGGTATTATTACACGATGAGAGTCAATCACAAATTCAAAACCCTCACGATTATTTTATACGAAAATATCTCATGTTGATTCGCTTCCTGATGTTGGAGTCTTCTGGTCTTTGATAGCTCGTCATTTGTCATTTCTAGATCAGGTTCTCGAAATCATATACTCGCGAATATGTCTGAACATGTAAGAACGCGAAATAAAGTATTCGCGAAATATAAGCAAAACTATGCCTTCATAAAATTAAACCAGTTTTCACGAAAACCATCCATCTTTGAGTATATTGATCAAGCAATATTGGTATTATAATCTGTAATTGACAAGTGTAATAATGTTCCGTTTCAAAAAGCGCACTATAAAACAATGTGCAAAACACACAGAATGATATGAACATTCAATACACATTTATAAGTAAAACGGAACAATGAAGCAAATTGCTTCATAGATTTCGAAACTTGACCGACAAAGATGTCAAGGCCAGGTTAGGAGCAGCAGACCAATGACTACAAAGACTTTTCTTATATCCGAAAATAATAAAATTGGTTAAGTACATGTTTATATTCTGAAATGCGCTTTGTTGAATTACACGTGCCATGGGGGTTTGAGCAAATATCTTGTAATAGAAGTACATAGCTGTGTCTACCACAAACTTGCTCTAAACATCTAAATATTGATTAACATTTCGATTAACTTCAGTTTTTGGTTTAATCCAGTGGGAGATGGGCCTGATCGTGAAGCTAGGAAAATTGTCCAAGCTGTCGTTGGTAGATGCTTCTGGACTGACAGAGATTAGCCGAGCAGTACTTTATATGTTCCCCAGTGTCTTTCTGACATTGCTCTTTAAATGGCTTCATTTACAGTCCTATTGCTTTGTATGCGGATTTTATGCTACTCTGCCCTTTCGTCTTCTCCTTATCTCACTTTTATCTCTTCACTTGACATTGCCGTATCAGAGTTGGTCTTCCTCTTCGTAGGCTTGTTCTGTAAAGTTGTTACAAATTTTCACTACTTAACCAAATGCATGAATACAGTGGTATGCATTTTCGCAGTAATGATATTGACCGCAAGTTTCTTTCTATATCAGTATTTTTCAAAATATATTTTTCTCCGTGATTACTTTCTGTCGCCGAGAAAAGAAAAGTATTGAAACCCTTCAAATGAAAAAAAACTCAATACAAACAAATGTTTTTTACAGAAAAAATGAATTCAGCATATTACAATAGATAGATTATGCAGCATTTTGACAAGACAAAGGGTAACAAGTATTGTGTAAGTTTTTATAACTTTTAACGGATGGTTTTTCAGCAGGATGCGGAGTTCAACGTTTTCAATGCGCATTGGTATGTCTACGTTTGCTGATATGATAGTCGTTATCCCTATTCTTATTTTGAAATCCTGACATTTTAAATGATGGTGAAGCTACTGGATGATTTGTCTTATCATGTTAAATCTACACTTAGGGACTGTTCATGTTTTATCGGAAAACTTAATATAGAAAAGTTATATTAAACCAGCGTAATAAGATAATTGGAAAGTGAGATACTTTATTAATTGATTAATCAATGCATTCGAGATCAAGCAAAATAACATTTGAGAGAATAAGAAAATGAAAATGAAATGGAATGAAAACTGCTCTTTAATTGAAGTGTGGGTCTGGAGCTGGATTCCTGACTACCGGAAGTTGTTTGTTCATTATAAATTTTCACCAATTAAAGTTTCTACGGAAGATCAGACTCTGGAGTAGACAACATAGAAGGTTCTGTCCAAAACCGGATAAACCTATTTCCTGGTTTTATGTCACACAGACGTGTCTCAAGTTAGGTATTTCCTTTGCGCTTGCGTGCTGGTGTTTTGTCTCAACCGATCCATTAATTTTAGTTTTGAAACGTTTGTAAGACGTTGTGCGACTCTTGTATATCGTGTCATTTCCTCATGTAGTATTCGATCAGGACACAGGATCAACACTTCCGGTGACCGGAAATACAGATATATCATGGAAAATTGATCGATTTCGCCTACAACTCAGTTGTATATCATCAACAATTGCACACACTTCACATTTTCATTATATCGTTTATTGCCTCTAACAGATTCGGGGGGGGGGCGGGGCGGGGGGAGGATAATGAATATCTATTTTAATCTGGTTATTATTTATCCTTATCTAGAAATATATTTTAATGAGAGTTTTTTTAACATGTTTTTATATATTAATGCTAAGTACCCACAATTATTGTCTCATCGTCAAAAGCTGATACTTCAAAAAATTGTTATAATACCATAAACCTTCTCAAATGTAGACTTTACTTCAGATTGCTGCTAAACGAGAATTGAATTATTTCTAAAACAGCTAAAGAAGTACTAAAAGGTGTTATTATTTTGTGTGTCTTTTGTACAATATTCTTAAGCTCTTGTCAGTTGATCACATGACACTTAATCAATGTTCGATGTTTCTTTTTGTTTGGATGATCTCACCTTTAAAATCAGGTTTAATATGTTCGTCTTTTTCAAGTAGTCTTGTTTCTGTAGCGGCCCATCTGTTTAATGTTCCTTGAGTAATCACGCAATCTAAGTGCTAGCTATCTCGCCGTTGCAGCGCCGGTGATTGGCCTCGTAGGGCGCTCCACTGCAACCAGTCTGCAATTCAAAGAAATCCCAGCAGTATAGCCAGCTTGTTTCTATTATGTGTTTTCCAATTCAACAATATAAAAATCACCTTTAACATAAACAAATAAACACTGTCTATATAATCTCAGAGAAGACGACATGAAGAAGTCATAAACAAACCAAAATAAGTCAAGAAATGTTACACAACGGCGTGTCATATCAAACAGCTGTTTTCAAGTTAAACATTTTAAAGATAATCAACTACAAATAATTACTGTAAATGAATGTGAATGAATACTCCCTGACTGCCTTTATCGTCCGGATATCGATGCTTCACTGTTACAAACTCAGTTATCACACAAGGAATGTTTGTAACAGAGGTCAATATATATTTCCTCCGCTAGGAATCGAACCCACGACCCCAGACTTACTAGTCTCTCTAGCCGAGTGGTATATTGCGGCCAGTATTTTACCAGGATTACATGCTTATTTTCGATTTACATTATTCGTTTTTCTTTTCTAAGTAAATAATTTCAGGTACAAATTAAAGATATATATCAAAAAGAAAGAAAGAGATGCCATGAAAAAGCTTACGTTTTATATTTTTACATTTAACAGTTTTTTTTATGTCAACATACAGCAACATATTAAATGGTTTTGGAGTCACAATGTATAGGATGCTAGCTGTACTGTAGGAATCCCTTATGTACAGAACTATAGAATAACATGTCGCCAATAAGACAAGATATTTTCTGTGCTGGTTTGAGACATTATCCACCGTACTGGTTTCCCATTAGAGTTGTCACAGAGGTGTCACTTAAGTACATAACAGTAGATGTGAGGAGCTTATTACTGGGGATTTTCCATCAACACCGATGTCTTTGCTTAAGGTAGATCTCGTGGGATTAGGAATAGTATCATTCAGTCGATGTCAGGAAAACATCCTGATCGACTGTTACACTCTTACAAAATACCACGCACACCATAACGTGTTATAACGATATTGGCGTTTTTGTTTACTCCGACTGAAACGCGCCTTTATCTTTCTTTATGCATTGTCATTGCATTCTTCTTCCTTTCCATGGATCTAGACCCGTATGTTCTATAGTGTTTTGTTTAGCCCTAGATATTCATATAAGTGTCGTTTTACCTTTAAATTAATTGTCAGTGTGAGTTTGCATGACACGAGACCAGTAAGATTGTGCTAGGAATCATATTTTTATAATAAAAAAAAAATACTTTTGTGATTTACATACAGCAAAATTGTTTTTAATGCAAATTGTAATAATAAGTAAAACGTGTTTTGGAAAGATGGACTGGACAGATACCATTGATAGTGTGTTCATCATGGTAAATGTATTCCTATTTAGACATACGAGTGTCCTTATATATATTCTATAATTTCTACACGTTAGGTCCTTTGCATCACTGACGAGTCCAGAAAGTACAAACAGCTGTTTAATGCAGTCTAATTCACCTTTTAGTCACATTATACTTCATATCAAATTTGTATCTAAAAATACACCAGTATTATTCTGATTTTTCAACCATAATTTTTTACAATTAAAATAAAGATGAATAAAGTGGTTAAAGTTTCACTTTTAAAAAAACAATTCTCGTCCAAACTCCAAACATCGAACATGCCTTTCCCCTCATTTGCTCAATATAGGTCAAAGGCCGGATGTTGTAGATAACTTACTATCACTTTCATTTTTACAGTCTGATCAAATGACGCCATGACCATGGATGACGAGGCGGTGATTATCACCCCCTGGTCGGAGTACCTCATCACCGCCAAACATATCAATGACTGCTCCCTCCAGCCTCACTCACTTCCGCCGTACATCGCCTGGGACGCCATCCTCCATCTTGCACCGGAAACTGATGATTTACGTCACATTATTGCTTCCAGCAAGTATGTTACCGCCTTTCGCATTTATTTAAGTGTCAAATCCGTTCGGTTACTTTCCTTAAAAAAATGCTATGTCATTCTTTAACGTAGAGGACAACAGATTATACAAAAGACACACAAGTGAATAACACCTTTTCATAATTGGAGTGAGATACAGTAGAGTCAGATGTTACTGGTTTTATGTTCTGGGACATGGGATTTTGGTTGATGCCGAACTGTTGTAACCTACTTAAACTTGGGATTAATCAGTTTCTAACGGACCATCGTTTACGTTGAAAATTAATTACTGTTGTCATTGACAGGATCTCCATTCACTCTTTATTTTTGGACACCAGGGGAGGGGGTAACAGGACGAGGAGTGTCAAAAGTCTTTCCCGTCTAATCTGCTTTTCGGAACCCATCGATACTGATTGTAGATTGATGTCCGGGGTGTTGTGTTTGTTAATCGGTGTCGATCTATAACAACTGTTGATTAACATTTCGCAGCCGGGGAGATTCAAACGTTCACACGAACATAACTGGGTGAGGAATCGAACAGCATCCGAGGTGATTTTCCTGTCATTTGAGTTAGCTTTTATATAAATCTTGCCTCCCGTTAAACGTACCATTGACATGATCTTGAAGTATTCTATCGGGGCGACTGGTTAACAGACAAAATAATACAATTTCTGACATCAAATCGAACGTTTGAAAAGTAAAATGATAATACAAAAGGTGTTGCGAATGATAAGTGTCGACAACGAAAACGACAGTCGCCTTCTTCAATATATAGAAGTGAAATGAAAGAAATGTCACGACTTTAAAACGACAGTCGAAAAAGAAACCGGATAGCACATATCAAGAACCATCATTATTTATCAATGTTTATTGCAGTAATAAGAAAAATCGTATTAATAACGTAATGTACACAAAGGTACAGTAACATGCTTTAAAATTAAGTCACGTGATTATTGTTTTTCACTCTGTTTATAACGAAGGAAGAAGTCTACCGAAATATATGTTGTTGTTTTTTTTTCGAAGACGTCTTTAACATCATATAGGTGGTGTTTTTGTGACATACCATATCCTCATTGATCAGGATGAGAATCCAAGGACAAACCTGATGTAGCACCGATTTGTCGTTAATTTCGGATAAGGAACTCTACTGGTGCTACTGAACATATTCATTAGAAGATTCATGTGGATTTTATATCCTGTAATGTTAATTAATTACAGTAAATGGTTTTCATTTTGTTTAACGACATCCCCTTCGGAACAAGGTATGATAATAAAACAGTAGTTAATTTAATGTCGACTGTATGTCACGTGACTTAATCCGGAAGCCGTTCAGTTCGACTTCCGCTTTGACTATTACGATAACCAATAAAACGCGGGATTTTATGGCTTTGTGCCGTGTCATTAAAACGCTTGCCAATATGTGTCTGTTAAACGTTGCTTGGCGAATGAATTCTTATTGATGAGATTCATTACATATTAACATCCCTAAAGGGCAAGAAAAGGGTGGAAAGGGACACTGAGGTGATATCGACACGATTAACAGAGGCTTTATAAAGCATCAGACATGTTTCTTTATATTTAGACAATTCCCCGGTCACGATTATAACATAGTCCTGTTCATCAATGGTGATTTTCCCTGTTAAAACAGAATGTGTTCAAACATTCCTTGAATTGATTTGTGCAATAACAGTTCCCAAGCAGAATTCCCTTTACGAAGAGCAAACTTTGAAGTCTGATCAATTGTTCATATATAAGCCTATGAATTTGTGGACAAAGACCTCTCGCTTTAACGCCAGACACTTTATATCGTTGTCTGTTCTTTGTTATTGACATTAAACAGTACAGTCAGAGACCTTATGACTATAGAAAGTCAATAGCTGCTCGGGGTTAATTTTTTCAGAGGTGATATTATCATATTGATTCCAATGTATCATTAGTGCTCACTCCCATTCCTGTTTTTATGTCGAAAAGCGTGAATCGACTTTGCTGACTCGCATTTCGGATTCCCATACGTTTAGCCCTACTTAAGAAGTAGAGTCGTAAAAATCTATCGAAAATTGAAATTGAGCTCAGACTAAAATTGGTTCCTAAGATTGTATTGCAAATTATTGCAAAAGTACTTTTTCGGCTATTATTTTTCTAGTTATCTTGTTACATGATTGTGAGCGGGAACACGTAAGCATTTTTGGTATAATGTTATAGATATTTGAGTTCATAGACTATAAAAATGGCAGCAGCGCTTATTTCAGATTGGCATAAAATGTCAATACACAATTCCACGCTTATAATGGTGTAAACTAAATATTGACTTTTGAGTCCTTCGCGACCAATCTTGTCGTTCAGCTGGAGTCTCTATTTACTTAGCTGAGATATATTGCTGACTCCTGTCATACGTGCTGTCAAAATGTAAAAACCAAATGTGTTGTATTGGCAGGCATCAGAGAAATGGACCCGATTTAGCTGGATACAGATTTCCTTCAGTCGGAGAATGCTCATATCACAGACCTACTTTACGGCATAATGTGGTCCTATGCTATCTCTCTCGTATCAGTATTATCAGTTTTTCTATCTATGTTCTATCATTGCCTGGATAAGTTTGATCGTTTTTATAAAGCTTACAACGGACGATTTTGTAATGATAGCGCCTTTTTGTTACAAACAATTTATGTCACAGTATTACATATATCTAGAGAATACATAGTCAGTGTCTAAAAAATATAAGCTGTATTTTGGCGAGGATGAAAAAAGACACAAATGGATGGAGAGCCGCTGGCAAATTATTTTTTTCGTGTTTTCTGAAGTAAATTGAGCTGCTGTGAAAATTAAGAGTGTGCTTTCTAGACGCTCTGATATGCTTTCAAGGCACCTCGTTGTGGATTCTATGCAAGTCGTGGTTCGCTGTTATTACATGTCCGCGAGATTGTAAGGCAACACTTTACTACATGCAGTAATGAAAAGTCAAGTCAATGATAGATACAAAATTCTGGTTCATGGTTAATTCAATTCCACGTAGTGCATATCATAGTTCCTTTATATAGAAAGAAATTTGATTACTCTCATCAAGGGCATTCGGGACGTATCCTTATTACGTTTAGTTCTCGGATGTCTGATATCGTTGTAAAACTCCAGGCGTGATATACATTACATTTAATATACATATACATTTACTGAATAAAATATTGTAATCCAACAAAAAATGTTTATAAAGATTAATTTTGACACAAATACATAAAGATATATACATATTAAAAGGCGTTGTGATTTGATGTATCATGGATGTCCATCAAATCATTATCAATAGAGTATTCATGACTGACACAGAAATACCAAAAACATCTTCTGAAATATCATAAAAAATGGCTTCAGTCGATCTATTTGTTTAGTCCGAATCAAATTATAACCGGAATAAGACAGCAACATGCGGAGGGAATAATTATTTATATACATGGTAACGTGTGCCTGCAAGGGCCCGTCATTTATACGATCATAAACGCCAAAACAAGACAGCTCAGTGCTTTAATGAGTAATTTGCTGACGGAGATATTTCAGACATCAGGACAGACGCATAGACCAGATTATAACTGGATGCATGGCTTTTTTCTTATGTTTTTTATTACAGATAAACAGATCAGCTGCCTTCTATGAAGGATATATTTGTCCGTATTGTCCGTTAAGTTTATAATTAACAGAAAAGCTGTTACCTTACAACGTTTTCAACAGGTTTATTTATTATCTTTCTAATATACTATTTGTTGTGTTGACAGGAATGGACATATCTTACGAGTGGATACTGAACGTGATGTTGAAGAGCTGTCCGATCTTCTATTAAATCGCCCTCTTCTCATGCGTGTGACGTTGGTCCATACCATGGTAGCCAGCAAATACAGCGCTGACACCGTGTCGATATGGGAAGGTGAGTTGTGGTTATTGGTTCGAATCACCTATCTTTACATATGATCTGGGGTTTGTTTATAACGGAATACGCTATGAATAAATACATAGATCTATGATGGAATAAAGGTTTCATTAGCTGCCTGCAATAGGTTTATTCTATCTACATCATACAGATGTTCCCTCGTCATTTAAGTTAACGGCCAATATGCTTTAGCCGTGAAAACAACTGAAGAAAATCTAAAGTGATTGAAAGACAAATTCATTTAAACAAGTGAAAAAAAGAAAACGTTTTCATGAAAACCATGTTTAATATGAATGAGGCCATGCATTCCAGAAGATCTAGCATCTATGGTGCACAGTGTCATCAACGACACTCACGATGTAAGTTCTTGTCAATCTAAGAAAGTAACGAGAATAATGTTAACAACAATATTCAGTTAATCTGTGTAATAGGATGAGACGAATTGATGCCTTTAATTTTTCGTCTGATGTACAATTTAAGATGAAGGATTTTTCTTTCCTTGTTTTAATATGTCACACATCGCTTTGTAAATCATCTTTTTACACGTTTACCTACGTCAAAGGAAGCAAATGGTTGCAGATTTGTTTTATTATTACATTTTGATTTTTAGAACTACCGTTTGATGGCCCTAATGCCATTTTATGTGTTGACGGGCCGTTAAGAATGTAATAATAGTAATAATAATAAGAACTACCGACGGATCTTACATAGACAAAACTTTGCCATACAGTTTAGGAAAATTTTTACCAAAATTTGCATTTTGAATCGGCTAAATTTCTGATTTTTTTCTGATACTTTATCAAAAGATTATATTTTATGTGAGTAGACATGATAATGAAGTACTTGTAAATTGTTTTTAACCATCATTCGGGCAGTTTATTAACTATTATTTACTGGTTTTCAATATTAAACCAAATTTAGGACATGATCTTTCTGGCAGCATATCAAATGCGGAATATGTTGCCGTGCATTTAACATAAAAAGTCTTTTTGTGACTTGGAGATTCTTAATCAGAATGTGATGTATGCTTAAATTACCCTCAGAACGGTCTGAGCGAGATTGACATTTTGGTTTGATTAATTAGCTTGATTGAAAGGCTTCTCAAACTCCTAATTACATTTAAGACTTCATTTAAATTTATTTTTTAAGAATTTTAATCATCCTCTCTGATGACAGCTCCTGACTTAACTAGTGTAAAGGATATCAAAGTGAGAATCGATCATTGCCCTTTGGTAATATATGAAAGACTACAAGGAAAAGACGCAAATTTCGATAAAATCTCAATTTGGTTTAAATTTTGAAAGAACTATGACAAAAATATGTAAAAATGGTAATTCATGAAAAAAATAGTGGGGAAAAAGGTCAGGTGCTTGAAGAGGGTATAGTAAATGTTAGTGTCTTCTTCTTTATTGACGACAATTTAAAACGAATTAATTCATAGGTATGTCAATAAATGTATACTTCAAACTAGAGTCAGTTTAACGTTGCTAAAACATGTACAAAGTAATGACTTACAAGGAGACCATTGAAAAAGTACAAGGATAATAAGACCACGTGTTCATGAAAGTCTAGCATATTTTGCTTTATCGTCGACTACACCTGTTGTACAAAAGTGAGTGAATCTTACGGGACGACTACCGGAACCACCAGGTATACTGATGAGAATCGAACACACTAAAATTAATTCCTCAATATTACAAAATGACCACCATTGAAACATGTTTCTTAAGTTTTTGATTAAAATGTGTCTCAGCCATTATCCTCATCGTTCTCTCTTCCTCATATTTCGTTAACCAATGATAGCATGTCATTATAATAAACTTGTCCAATATTGATGTCGACCTTCTGCCTAAACCGGACAGATATTCGTCATCTTTAGGCTAGCATACGAATCCATCGGGGATTTGATAAAGAATATTATATAATAGGAACTGTGTTACATAAAAATATTTTTGAATGGGGTATAGACGCCCATTTCTTGGAAATGAGTAGAACTACAGTACTGCAAATGAGGTATGGAGAACAGTCTTGCCAAAGCAGTAGCGGAGTCAGCAAAAAATCAGGGTATGCAAGGCTTCTTGTAGAGCAATATAAGCGAGGATGTCTGCTAGTTCTTTATGATATTTGGTTTTGAAATGCTTGGTAATGCCCTAAATTTGTGGGTTGTCGTTTTTTGAGAGAAAATCGTTATAAATTCCCTTATTTCTTCGCCATCACATATATTCCTGTCACTGTAATATAGTCAAAATGTCGAAAATTCAGACGTGAATTTGGATTTCATTTTTTATTTTCATACTGCTTATTATATATGGAACAAGTGATATACTGAACGAAAGAAATTAATTCCGAAAGTGAATCCAGCGCTGCATGTTCTCGTTCCATTTACTCTTCAGTATAGTACTTCATGAAATCATTGAAAGTCTTGATAATCTTATATTTGTAATGTGAAGAGGTTCTCAACGTTTGAAGTGGAATAAAAATCAATGTAGCTTAACATGTTATGCTTATATTAACAGCAACTGCGCGTCTTTCTGACCTATAACTATGAAGACAGATGATACACACACATACCGAACAATTCAGCTCCTGGGATGTTTGATGACGGCGTTAACTTTGTATTTGATTGGTGTGTTTTATTCGCCAAAGTTGACATTATTTTGCTCTAAATTCGCATTTTAAGAACATACATCCAGAACTGAAGCAGTTTGTCATGATTTCACTTATTCATTAAACTTCAGAATCAAAAAATCAATTTTGTCTGTGGCCATGTTTCTATTATAATGTATGTTATATGTATATATGATGAAATACGGCCTGTCATTATTCGATGCGTTAATTTATTTACATGAAACGTAGTTTTACCTCGTAAACCACAGTTGTGATGTGTGCTTTACGTAGGCGACATCATCACAGAACACAAAGATAGCGTTCGATATTTTGATTTAAATCTGTGTTTTGCATAACATAAATGAGTCACTATCAGCTAACTTACTTTGATTTACTCTCTAAAATTTAATCATTCTTTTTGTCAGGACGGTTGTTTATAGTCAATTGCTGGTTGCACAATAAAGGTTGAAATAAACACACGCTCACAAACAAGATCAGAAAGACTGGTTCCTTGTGATCTTACTCTTCATTTTGAAAAGACTATGGATATCACGTAAAACGCACACATGCATCTCGTGCTGTATCTCTTGTGTCTTCCTTAATTGATTGATTGATTGATTGATTGATTGATTGATTAATTTATGCAGACAGTAGATCAACTCCACAAGCAAAGCAAGTGATATGCTATATATTCCCTCCTTTTTGACGTTTTACTATGATATATATCCCTGCTTTTTGTTACGAGGTGGGGTAGAATCAGTTTGAAAAATATTATGGGTCATCATAACGCTTTTATAGAACGTATTTACTTAAGAGAAATGAAATTAATTTTTGATAAAAACACATCCCAGCATGTCGACCTGCCTATGATAAGCTATTCGGTAAAAAACTAATAAATCTCGACTAAAACGGAGGGTATGTAACAATTTATGAAAATATGCATTGCGTTGCGGTATTGAGTTAAAAGAATGCTTGGATGACCATGTAATGCTTTCAGTACCGTCGTCAGCATGGATGACCATGTATTGCTTTCAGTACCGTCGTCAGCATGGATGACCGCGTTACTCTTCCAGTACCGTCGTCAGCATGGATAACCATATAACGCTTCCAGCATCCTCTTCAATTGCTATTTTTACGTTGCGTCTTCATATTACTATCTTCTACCGAATATTCACAGAGAACATGACTATTTTAAAATCTATTCAAGAAACTGAAATGGCTTCAAATTATACATTAGCTTTTGACGCTAATTTTCACCAGAATCTCGGGATGAAATATCATTCGTCGAATCATTTTCAATTATTATCTTGACAAATTGGAATGCCAAATTGCGTCATATTGCGTCCTTTTTCTGTTTCAATTGCAATCAGTTATCTCGTCTTTCTTGCTCATTTATCATCCTACTTGCTATATCATCAGCATTGAAGTGTGCAAAAGTAAGGGCTTTCATCTCAACGTAGAAAAATTGTCTAAATTGAACGACAATTTTGCCTTCTTTACGAGACAAAAACACCTTTTGAACGTTTAATGCGAGCCTTTTTAGATATAATGCCCCAAAATATGCTATGAGAAAGGAATTTAAGGATATGGATAATTCAACATTTCAATTACATCAATTAATTTATGTTTAAAGTATTGTTAGCTTGACATATCTAAAGCTTCGCTGATATTTGCACACACTCCTCACAGTTAAGCCATATTGTGTTAGTATTTTGTCTGCTGTATATACATTTTGTCAATTACTCTAAACGTATTTACGTGTATTCTTGCAAAACATTCCGCAAATGTTTGCAATAAATATATTTTCGCATTTCACCATAGATGAGAAAACAGTTACGTTTTGCAGCTTTCTAGCAATACGGATATTTAAAATTCAATTTTACATTCGATTGATAAGGAATGTTAAAGAGATAGTGATTTATTTGTCATTTGGAATAATAGGTTATTGTTACTGCTGCTTATCCCTATCGACAATACTTTTGGAGACATAAATATCTTGTAAATCATTCTGCCGGGGACTGCAGTGTGTTTGCTTATTATCAGGTCTTGATTATTTATGACATTTATTTCTGACATATTTTATATTTTAAAATCATGACCATCTTAAAATTATTCCTTATATTACATGTCATTCAATCGGAAGAAGTTTGATTTAAATTTCCGAACTAATAATGTATGGTTGAGACATATGTGGATGGAAACGTCTGGTCTGATGGAGGTGAAAATGATGTCCTCGAAACGTCACACACAAATATTCTACTGTTTGTGTTAAAAACTTCTATTTGAATACCATAGCATATCTTTGTATAATTACAAAATTCACCTGTAATCAAATGAGGTCGTCCATATGATATCATTTTATATATCAGTACGGTAATGTACCTTATAAC